TTTCGAGTAATTAATTTTGATTAGCCACCGATCTGCCCATTCCAATACCTCATTCACCCCACTTTGTAACCTGTCGTGAAGCAGATTCCCGATACTCGACTGGACCACCAGTGCAGTGTCATCAGCATATAGATAGACTTCACAGTCGCTAGGGCAAGCGACATCATGCGTGAAAAGTGAGTGAAGGATTGGCACTAGAACCGATCCCTGAGGGGATGCCAGCCCTGATCGGCCGTACTTTCGACAAGAAACTATTAATTTTGATGCGAAATTTTCTACCTTCAAGGAAGGATTTCAAAAGCTTTAGGAGCCAAAATGGAAAGCCCTTTTGAATTAGTTTATAGAGAAGGCCCTTGTGCCACACCTTGTCAAATGCCTTCGAGACATCCAGAAACAAGGTGCCAGTACCTTCGTTAAGGGTGAAGCCCCTGGTTACTCGCTCCACAAGCATAATCCGAATTGCACGTCAGAAATCACATGGTGATCTGACGAGAAATTCGCAAGGTGACGTAGAATCACCTTTTCAGCGAGCTTAGACGGAGCAGACAGTAGGCTGATGGGACGATAGTCCTGGGGAAATATCGAACCCACCTTCTTTGGAATCATTATAACTTCCGCAGTCTTCCACGCCGATGGAAAGTACTGGGTCCTTAGCATGGCATTAATATCCACGAGATAATCAAGGACTTCAGTGAAAGCAGCTTCAACGCCTTATTAGTGGTTTGATCCTCCCCAGGCGCTTTACGCACCTTGAGGTCTTTAATATGACCTTGAAGCTCTGCTGGCGTGCAATGCGGGATCTCGGGAGAAACCGCTGATGTGCTGTGCAACTCTTCAGCTGAAGAATCTTCCGAAAAACAATCTTCTGAGGAAGAATCGCTAATGGCGGCTCCGGGATCACTGACGCTGTTCGCCCTAAAATATCTTCTGACGGATCATACAATTTGTTGCTCCTCGTCGAGATCATTATATCATTATCAAGATCATAGTTGGGAGAGAACTGTCGTTCCATAGCATCAGCGAAAATCTCGACCTTGTCCTCTGTCCTGAAGACTATACCTCCAGGACCGAGGGAGTGCGGGAGTTGTTCTTGCTTTCTGCTTCTAAGCGACTTCGCCACTTTTTAGAGAGGAGTACTTGAGTCAAGCATCCCCGCCAGAAAATTGTTCCATTGCTCATGGAGAACATTTCTTACTTCATGAACAAGATTCGCCGCTCTGCGAATGGCATCAGGATGAGGCAGTGTCGGTGTCACACCTTAATAAGAGACCTGCTAACCTAAAAAAAGTGAGAGAGGTCCTTTACTAAAATAACTACCACAGGACTTTTGTTGATGCCAGCATGAAGCAGAGAATACTCCAAGTTTATGATAAAATACAACATACTGACGAACAAGAAATTTATAACATTGCCTTATGTCGCAGGTGTTACTGGAAATATAAATAAGGTTTTATCGAAAAACAAAGTGCGTTCAGCACATGAAACTGTTGCAAAAACCAAAGACTATCACGCCTTTTTTATAAAGAGGTAATGGTGGGGTCGTTCCTCTTTCCTTGTTTTCTTTTGTTTAAGTAAATTAATTAATGAACTAATAAATTGCCTTAAATGAAATATAAGCGTCGGCCAATGCAAAACAGCTGTCAGGTGGCGTACAAATTTAGGCACTAGCTCGATAAATCGGAGAGTAGGGGGGTTAAGCGCGCCAGTGACTCAAGATGGATTAAGTCACAAATCCGCGGACCTTGTTCTGCTTGACGACCACACAAAGAACAGAATCTAATAGTAATAATGAAACCTAATTAATTGTATACAGACAGCCAAATAAAACAAGATATCTAAAAAAAATCACAATATATTGCCAAAACAAGCAGCACATATGCTCCACCACTGGAATGCTAGTTAAAAGAAAAGATGTTATTAAAAACCACCTGACAATAAAATTAATACACCCTGATAACTAACCCTGCAAAAAGTTTACCATGGTACACGTACGAAGGCATTACAAATATAGGTCTTACAAATATGTTAACGCCTAAACCTAAACTTATCTGGACAATGTTCTTCTTCCAGTTACAGCTCTACGCATAGCTGTGATGTTCTCAGCTCTCAAAAACTCAGGTCAAAAATCAGTGGCCAGTAGTGAGCAGTGACGTAAGGAACGCTACATAATAGGGGATGCTTGCCTAGTTCTCAAAATTTATAGTATAAAAAAAGCCCAAATAGAGAAAAAGACTGTTTAAGAATGTCTCTCTCTCTATGTCTGAGATAGAACTGCTCATTTAAACGACTCAAAACTTGAAGAAAAATCCATGTACTTTTACAAGAAAGCTACTTTTCTTTCTGCAAGAGCAAGAAAAGATAAAAATTTACCAAAGTGTCAGAAAGTTATGCCTTGTTTTAAAATAATTTATGGCAGCTCAAAATCCAAAATCATGATTAATGGAATCTAAAAAACCGAAAGGACGGTGACATGTAGGCACTGCCCTATATTTGAATACGTGAAATGCCAAACAAAATCAAGAACACTAAGAATTTCAGTCAGCAACAATCAATATATCAATATCTATAAAATATCCAATTAAAATGATGTTTTACCTGTTCACATCAGGGTTTTTATCAAGGGGAATAGATGGCTTCCAACAAAATCGGCTGCGAAACAGCTACAAGGCTGCTACAAAACAAAGAGTGTGAGTAGTGGTTCTCCACAATGACTTTCCACGCTGGAGGTTAAAATCCCATTACAAAATGGACGTATACTACCCTAACCAACACAACTAAACTTAAGGTACAAAATAAAAGGGTACTACTCCATAAACTGGTGTTTGGGGCGTTAATATCTCAAAATGTGTGGGTTAACGAAAGAACGGCAGCACACAACCAAAATCACAGCGGAAAGAAAAGGTTGAATAAGTGGCCCTGAAGAAGGCATGTCCGACAGAACATCAAAAGGAACAGATACAAGCCCGTAAAAATGGTATCTTGATAGGAAGGTAAACATTCATATACGGCTAGTACGTGTAAAAATCACAAGGTGGCGCGCTGGTTGCCTATGGACAGACTGTAGGCAGAAACAAATCTGTCTACGAGTGCCCAACAATATTTTATGATGAAATTTCTGAGATAGAACAAAGATTTCAATACAATACTGAGTCGCTGAGAATGACAGATATAATACGTGTGAAATTCTACAATCAATAAACTATGAAATTTGACAAAAGAAAATCATTGAAAAATGTTTGGTCTAAGAATCGGTACCCTACTATTAATAAAGAGAAATTCAAATTACTTATAAGTGATCAAAATAGTAAAAAGAAAAGTTACGCGATTTTGGCACGTGACAAGACCTATTATCGATGCTAAAACCTCCAATCGGAAAGTTGTGCTGAGCAACCTGGTTTACAAAATAACATGCAAGTGTTGCCCAAGTTCATATATGGGATAGACTAATCAATGTATACTGAGTGACAACAGAAGCGTTTTCTTGTCAACATAATGATTATATTTAACGCATGCTGTGACATTAATCTTTGTTTTTGTTTACCTTTGTTAAAAAGCTATCTCTTCGTTTTTGTGAACAAAGCAGTTTCTGACAGCTGAGTAGTACAGGTATTTTTAGTTATTGCCCTTCCATTTACTAGTGTTAAGCATAACAGAATGCCTCGAGTTCGGAGACGTCCAAATTATCACCATATTAGCAACCTTTACCGGGGTAGAATTATTGCCCATCGAGATGTTGGTTTGTCCTATCGCGAAATTGCGAAATTGGCCGCCGTGTTTATTGTACTGCAATGACCGAGAGCCATTGTGAAGCAGAATGGCATAATGTCACATTCATCGGCGAATCGCGACTCTGTCTAGGTACGCAAGATGGGCGTAGAAGGGTAAGACGCTGCCGTGTAGAACGCCGTGTTATTGGATTTGCCGTTGAAAGACATGAACACAGGTCTGTTGGAGTAATGGTTTGTGGTGTATTGTCTATGGTATCCGATCACTGCTTCTCTTTGTTCAAGGCAATATGACTGCTGCGCACTATGTTGATAATGTCCTACAAACCGCTTTACTGACGTATCTAAAGGGCCGTCCACACGTCCTTTTTCAGCAAGACAACACACGTCCCCATATTGATTGTCGTACTACGGACTTTCTCCAAGAAGCAGGTGTTGACGTTTTGCCTTGGCTACCCCGTTCACCAGACTTAAATCCCATCGAACATGTGTGGGATATAATGGGGAGGAGACTATCCACTTTGCACCATCCGCCAGAGGCTGTGCCACAGCTAAACCACAAAGTTCGAGTTGCTTGGAATGAACTGATACAGACATCGATCATCTCATTTCGTCGATGATTAGACGTATACAGGAGTGTAATCAGCTGCGGGTTCGCCACATTAATAACTTTCTTCTTATTACTTTTCAATAAAACGTTGTGAGAATGTTAACGTTTCATTCTTGGTGTAATGCTACCTCATCTACAAAAAATCGAGTTGAAGAAATGATTTTTTCTGGATGTACCACTTCTCTGAGCATATAAAGAAAAGGATTATAAGCATGAGCATGACAAAAATGATATGTCCCGCGCTTTTGCATAACATGCAACTGACTATCGGCATGGATTTGATTTCACAGATGTAAAATTTCTAGACAATGAGCCGGACTATTTTAAAATAAACAGTATAGATTATAGAACTTATACAAACAATATTTGAAGTATCTATACTAACTAATATACTAAGAAGAACTTAGCTGTTGCATCCTCACACCCATAATACCCACTTAATGTAAAAAGATAATTTACCTTTGTTTTGTTTTCATTTTTATTGGCAAATATTAATCGCCAATCGTTGACCTCCACCCAAGCTGCCAGCATCTATCTGGCAAGTTTTTTCCGTATATTAATTTTCCATCTTTCAATTATTTGTTCTTTTTCAATGGGTCTTGTATTGTACCTGAAGCTGGTGTTTAAAACTCGTCGTATTTTTAAATAATTGGCTGATATGAATAACACTTGAGTTTAAATTCCGAGTATGTACTCATTGTTCTCCGTTTTGTATGAATAAAAATATTTCGCTAAGAGGAGTATCTGCTCCAGCACATAAAGTAGATCCTCGTCCAAACAAGTCTGCACCTGCACCTGCACAACAATGAAAAAGTGTGGCGTTCGGCATATTCGTGTACTAGTATAAATTCCAGTATACAGTCGATCAGCGTGCAATGAGTGAAAGTGAAGAAGAAACTGATAAAGCCGGCGAATCCCAATTGGGATTTGTAAATATGCTACGTGATTTTCCCATACTTTTATCCAAGTCACAAACACCAACTGTCCGATAGTCAAAAATCAAAGCACTAGAACTGATCAAAACACCGTGGAAGCTGAATTTCGGAACACAAATGACTACAAGTCAAATGTACAAAAAAATTAATAATATGAAATCCAGACTCAAGAAAAAGACTGACATAAACAGGACTGGAAATAAGAAAATTGTGCTGCAGGATTGGGAAAAGATTTTGTTGGAACTCATGAAAGGCAACACAAATCCAGTACTTGCAAAAATTCCAGGTAAATTAGTTAGTATTTTCTTCATAAATAACTTTACTTAGATTTTCATATTATTAGTAAACCTATATAAAGTTTGCTATTAGTTGTTATTTTGTGCATTTGACATGTTTTTGGCTTAGAGACAAAAAAAGGTTACAATACCATATGCGAAACTTTATCACTTGTCCATTTTTTATAGTAGATGCTGTATGAATATTTATTTAGTTTTTCATTTTACGAAAATCAGCCACGAAGATACAGTCCTTAGGCAATCAACTTCTGCTTCTCAAACGAGTGCAGCAAATGATGATGCTATTAGCACAGTACAACATGCACCCAAAAAAAAGAAACACAATAAAGTTAGTCCTCTCGAAGAATGTGAAACAAACGTTACTAAACAACTCTCGAATAACGAACAACAAAGGCTAGTTTTGCTGAAACAACTGACAGTGTTAGAAATGAAAGAGGAAAAACTTAAGAGACAGCTAAACAGATATGTTGATGAACAATCTAATTCAAGCAATAATAGTATCATTCACGGTGAAGATGGACAAGCATATTTCAAATTATAATACTCTTTAGAATCACTTACGAAATAAAAGAATTGTAACATGTGACATTTTTCTAAAGAGTTAATAATAAAAATGATAAATACGTTATTACTTACATCAAGCAAGAGCAACAATGACATTCGTTAATTCATATCTCCTCCGTTGCCCGCTTCTTCTAATATTATTATTGTCCACGTCCTCTTCTGCAGGATTCGCAAGTTGGACATCTTCTAATGGGAGCTCCATAGGATCTAGCTCATCTTTTAAATATTTTGCTACATTGTGTAATATACAACTGCATATGACAAATTGTGGAACTTTTTCTATGGATATCCGCACTTTATATTGTAGCATTGGAAATCGTTGAAAATTGTTCCTCGCAATACTTGAAATTTCTGAATTGCTCCAAAATCGTGAATCGTAAACAGATCCTGGCCATGAAGCATCTACACTTGTACACCACTCATCTGAATTGCATGTGGCTTGTACATTAATGCTGTGATATCCTTTGCGGTTACTATATTCATCGCTATGAATAGGTGGCTTTTTTATTTTTATGTGGGTACAGTCTATAGCGCCCAATGCACATGGAAAGAATATTTTGATTGCCATTTTTGTTTTGTCTCTATTATGTCGGCAGCAGTTTGAGGAAATTTTATCCACAGTCCGCATTTTTCTATTATCTTCTCAGTAACTTCCGTCACTACTTTTGAGACAGAACTTTGATGAACACCAACACCTTCTCCTGCTCCTGATTGGAAACCCGGATCACCAACGAATCTCAAAAATATTTTAATTTTATCAATGTTACATATAGCACCACCCCTTCTTTCTCCAGATCACAGGTACGTCTTCTAGGTTTGTAATATTTTTTAGAACGCAAATTAAGAATGAACTCAGCCATAGCTGTACCATAGTCAAACTGAAGTCTGCTAAATATCAGACTCCAAAATTATGAAGTGCATTCTCCTTTCGAGGAGCATGAACAAATTTTTATTCATAGGAAAACTGAAAATGAACTCACAATAAATTATTCATAAGAGTATCTACTCAAGTGGAGCATCAGCTCCCTATTATTATTCATATCACATGGAGTATTTGCTCGAAATTCTTGAGAACATACTAAATGCTCATTTTTATTCATAGGGCCCAATGATTCAACTGCGCGACTCTCAAGAATGAATAACTTGAATACTTACAGGAAACAATATTTCAAGGCCTACAATAGCTGTTCAAACAGAGAGACTGTTAAATACTGATCTTAGTTTCACACTCGGTCTGGAAATTGGTATCACTGTTCAGAAAAAAGCAGTTCCTTAGCTGTTTTTGGGTAAAATTCCAAGACATTATTTCATGATGATCAAATTCCTGTGGGTTAATCTCTCATCGCCTGTTTGTGCACTAGTTCGACATATTGGCTTAGGTATGAAAACAGTGGTATCTATCTAGAAGGCTTATCATCCATTACTGGTACTCATTACAAAGCTGCCTCAAGTACCACGTAGCATTCCAGTTCGGATGCTTGTCCTGGAGAGTCTCAAACCCGACAGAATATGCCTCTCCTATCACATGCAAAAGTTTACTGACTGCTAAGACTGTACCTGAGACTGAGATAACTCTTGGGACGACATAAAAGGGTCCAAGAGTCGTCAAACTGTTGTGATTTCCGCTGATTACTGGCCTAGAGCTCAATTCCCAGTCTTTCAGCGTTCCACTAACATACAGATAAAACTGGAATGGCATGTCAGTGACTTAATAGAACATCATACAAAAGCAACAATGTATTTATTCATGGGCACATCAGGTACAATACGTTGTTGCATAGCACAGCAGTAGTCCCATAAGGCAACACTGCCACTCATCACTCCCTAGTAAAATTACCAATTCGTTCCCTGATGCGTGTAGAAGGGCAAATAAAAATGATATGCTGTCAAGAGCGGATGACAAAGTGCGCCACTATATCATGCGGCATTAGAAACGACGTGTCTTCCAGTCGTAACGAGGGCTTCTCACATGGACGTGCGACGTGACGTTCACGGAAGGTTATGTAAAAAAGTGCTAAAGCGCGTTTTCCACTCATATAGCAAACTAAAGTAAATTGTTACACGATAAATATTAAGAGAAAAGTGAAGAATTGAACTATCGGGGATTGTCATATTCGAGCATAGATTACTAGACTTTGAAGGGTTTTACCAGTGTATAATAATGATAAAAATACTAATAGCATTTCTTGTCCAACAGTTACCCTTTTACAATACAATTACATGAACAAAATATACTAATAGGATATAGAAAAAGATTGGTCTTGGTTTGAAAACGGCATTGCGGTCGATGAAGAAAACAATGTAGTCATCCTTTGAGACCCAGGATGATGACTGCGAAATGGTTCTCATTCCATCATGAATGTGATGTACGATGTATTTACGAGTAGAGTGAATTCGTGTAATTGATCTGAGACTTCTAGCGTTAGCCACTGAAATAAGGCTTGACGGAGACTCCAAACTGTGCCTTTTCTTTCATCACCAATGATGAAGGAGAATGAATCGTCGCATCAGACCCTTCACTTATGAGTCTGGGGCGACTGCGAATAAGACCTTGCTATTAGCAACGAAGCTGGTACCTGAAGATGGTAATGAAATATGAAAACAGCTGGGCTTGAACCACTATTTTTCATAGTGGAGCAGCCACAAAAGCCGAGAATACGAAGATGCTGCTGACTTCGGAATTCGGAAATTATGCCATCCATCAGGATGTTTGTGTGCTTGGATCTTCATGAGTACCAATAATACTGCATTAAACTGCACCAGATTACTGCGCCATCAGGCAATAGTAACCTCTAGACCCGAGTTCCTCAAACTTTTTTGTGTCGTAGACCCCTTGCCTTGTTTTTCCGTGTTCGGTAGACCCCCTACTTACCTGATATTGATTTCCTGTAAATTTCTAACTGTAGTGAAGTTTAGTGTTAAAAACTTAAAGTAAAAACGTTAATTTATACATTTATTAATTGAATTTAAATTAAAACTACTAAAAATAAAATTTTGTATCTGTTATGTAAAATATACGTAACATTAAATAAACAGGTGTCTGACCAATAACTGCCCGCATTGGGAATAAGTGCCCGCATTAAAAAAAATAAGAGGATAAAATAAAAAAAAGTGAAAAATAATAAAAAAAAAGTTTTTTACCTAAAATAGTACCATAAGCGAGTTCGTTTATTAATTATAACATAAACGTATGTTCTACAATAATTTCACTGTTAGTTTGATTAAAGTCCGCTTCTTATACGTTTAAGTTATCTAAAAATAGGCAAAAAATTAACGAATTCTAATGTGTACCTATCCTTGAATTTTCAGAATAATTTAAAAAAAAATATTTTCTATAAAAGGGGGTACTTTAAAAAAATCAATGCGGGCACCTATTCCCAATTCGGGCATTTATTGGTCAGACACCAATAAACCTAAAATAAACTATAAATAAAATAACATAAGCAATAAGTCAATATTTTTAGTGAGAAGGGTGAACCTGATGCTTTAATAATAAATTATCAACATTTGGCGTCAATTTTGTAAGGGTTAATCTTAAATCTCCTCGGCTAATGATGTCCAGTCTGTTTTTTTTTCGTTAGGAGATTGGTAACAGCGCTGAACCCCCTTTCCACTAGGTATGGCGATGGAAAGGAAATTATAAATTTCCTCGCTATATTCCATAATACGGGATAAGTAACGGGTATGTTGTTTTGCAGCCAGAATTGCTGATATCCGTTTTTAAACTGAACCTTAAGTTCTTCGTTTGTACTTAGTTCAGTCAGTTCCTCTTGTATTGTGACGTTCGTTTCTTCTATGTCACCATATGGATTAATTATCCACGGTGGTATTACCATAGTCAAAATATCCTCAAACCTAGATTCAAAATCTGAATAGAGGGCATTTAAATGTTGAACGTAAGTTGAAACGTCGTCTTCCTGGCAGCTTGTCTGTAACAAATTGGGGAACTGAGAAAATTCGCTTCGTCCAATATTTTGCTTCATTTTATTAACTCTGGCAAGAAACGCTGATAAGATGGACTTCGTTTTAATCAAATTTAAACTGTCGCCTTGTAATCGCAAATTAACCATATTAAATTTTGTAAACAAATCTGTTAAATGGGCGATGTCTGTTTTCCTCTTCATTAAATTTTCTTTTAAAATTTTATCTTTAGTATCCAGAAATTCTAATATAGTCTCAAAAAGTGCAAAAAATCTTGTCAAACATAAGCCTTTCGACAGCCAGCGTACTTCAGTGTGAAGGAGTAATTGATGAAAGTGTTCGTCATTTTCTTCACACAACTGCGCAAATAACCGCGTATTCAACGCGTTGCTTCGGATTTGGTTTACTGCATCAATGACTAAATGAAATGATTCATGCAATCTAACACTCAAATTTTTAGCAACTAAATGTTGTCGATAGATGACGCAATGTATTGCTAACACCCCTGACACATTTTGTTTTAAATAGCTTATAATTCCACGATAACGTCCAACCAGGGCAGGTGCTTCATCTGTAGCTACTGATATTATATTTGATAAAGCAATTGCTTTTTCAATGAAGTAATCCTTCAAAAAATGAAATATTGATTCACCTTTAGTGTCGGTTATCAAAGTTCTTGTGAAGAGCAGTTCTTCGTAGGTTTCTTGATTCATAATAAAACGAACATATGCCAATAATAATGCTGCATTATCAGGTAAAGGTGACTCGTCCAGTTGTATAGAGAAATGGGTCGTTTGCAAATAATTACATAAGAAGCTTTCAATATCAGAACTCATTTCATTAATACGTCTTTCAACAGTATTGTTGCTTAAGGGAATTCTTTTAATGATATCAGATGCAGGTTTGTGTAAAACAGTTTTTAAAACCTCTTCAATGGCTGGCAAAATTAACTTCTCTCCGATAGTATGCGGTTTTCCGGAATTTGCTATACGTAACGTGATATTGTAAGATGCCCGCAAACCATTATCATTTCTTTGTGACGTCGAAGCGAACATTCTGTCCAGTGTAGGTTTCTTCTGAAATTTATCTTTGACTGTTTGAAAGCATTTCAAATCTTTCTCTGTTTTATCAGGGTGGCATCTTGTCAGATGATCTTGCAGTTTAGATGGTTTCATAGCGTCATTGCCCAAAACTTTGTTGCATAAAAGGCACATAGGCGATTGTTTGTCCGGCAATGATGGAATGAAGCCAAATTTCAAATAATCAACACTGTACTGTCTACATTTCTTTTTAGATTCGGACATGGCATCAGTCATCTGTGGAAAAAATTAAATTATTTAAATAAGACAGAAAATCCAGCAGCTGTATATGAAAAATATTTTTTTCATTTTTCCGAAAACATTCCATAATTCGAACATCTTGCAACAATTAGCTCGAATTACGGAGATTGTACTGTAATTATATTACCGATTGCTAAAACTTTTAAAAAGAAACTATTGAGGAGTACGCGTGTAATTTTGCATGATTGAATATTTAACTACTAATAACTAAAGTCATGATTGGCGTAATTTATCTATCTTTGCTAACTACGAGTACAAAACTAAAATTTAATAAAAAATAATGTACTTACTTTTCTCCAGCACTCTCAAACAAAATAACACTGACTCACTATAATTTGTGTGATATACTATCTGTTTATATTTTTTTAAATATTTTCTTAGCACTTTCCTTTTCAAGATTCAGGAAACGAATAAACGTATTTGTCCCACATTCTTATTTATAGAGTGACGAATTGAAGTCAGTGCAAGGTAGCGAAGCTCTGAGACTGCGACTATCGGATTTTTACAAGTTCAAAATGTATTGCGACCACAAAGCGAATACCAACATCCTACAACTTACACAATTTTATAAACACATATAATAAATTCTTTACTTCATAGGTACTTTTATAAATAGTGTATATGTTTTGATATTATAAGATAGTATGATGTAAGTAAATAGGTACTATCAGTGTATGTGCTGAGATCCACTATCGTGGACCCCCATATTCATTTCATGAACCCCCAAATTTTTTTTCGCTGACGTAGACCCCTTGCAGGTTGTCATAGACTCCTAGGGGTCGATGTAGATCACTTTGGGAATCAATGCTCTAGACCTTCAAAATAAAAGAGGATACCAGCACCTTTCTTCCCAGTTTAATCATAGAGATCATTGTGACACCCTGAGTAAGGATCTACTAAATTCTCTTTGTGAGACTGCTACCAATAATTCAGACAAGTGACCCAGATTGAAAAAATCAAATCGAACGAATTGAAATCGATTCACGTATGCCTTATAAACCGAATATTGACAAGTCTCCGTCTAATATGCATTAACGGCTCCATCATACCCCTATCAAGAAGAAGCACATGAGACTAGGGGTTTTCAATAGTTTGACAGAGTCTAAGAAGTTCTCCATGAAGTGTATTGAAGAAAAATATCAATACTATTTTGAAAAGCATACTGCTAAGTCTATGAATACCTTAACGATGACAATATATGCTCTTGAACAGGGCAGCTAGCCATCCGTTTCTTCTTTTCATCAATATTAGTTTTGTCATCCAGTCTCTTATTTATATTCTAATTTTATCCACATTTTAACTGCTAGAGCTTTTGTTTTCGTTTTATTTTGTTATTTTTCACAATTATGTTTTTTTAACATTGTGTTTTCTTCTTATAAATATCTGAGCAGTATTTATCTATGGTGTGGTTGTTTTACCAAATTCTTAGAACCTATTATGTTTCAGTGATGTAATTTTTATTTCCTCCTACACTGATATCTGTAGTATGTGAGTGTTCTGACGTATTTAATGTCATTTTCCAATAATCGATTGAATACACAATATCTATGTTCGATGTTCTATACCACTGGAAACAAGCGCTATATGTTTAGGTATGACCCCTGATACCAAACACAAGTAGAAGCACTATATCAACAAGAGGCAAGAACGTAACCTCCACTACAAGCCATGTCGGTTAATGGGAAGACCTCGATGCTATCGCTCCATAACAAAACCATATTTTATAATCAGATCTTGAAGCCAGCGTGGCTCTACCGTTTTCAACTATGGAACTGTTTCATGAATTTAGACATCGAAATTATTCGGAGATTCCACAATAAGGTTCTGAAGAACACTATATTCCGTTTGGCGTATTCGTAATGGGGACATTGATTGCCATTTGGTAATCCCTCTCATTATTGGTCTTTAACTGCTGAGCAGCTACAATGCCAGTTGAAGAAGACCAAGTCGTATGATGTTCTGTAGTGTTTTGTATCTAAAGCAAAGCATGCGTGGGAGTTCTTAGTGATAATATTGATTAGACGTTAAGATGATCTAAAGGGCATCATTGGATTACCAAATGATTAGTTTCAATATGTGGTCATCAAATCCACTCTAAAAACAGAAAAAAAACAGATTGCCTGCTCGTGAGGTGTTACATACTTTTAACATATGAGCCAAATGCTACTAAAGACTTTGGAAATAACCCAGTTAACCCTTTAGGGTGGTCTTGAAAGTTCTGATGAATCAACTTACTTTTGATCTAAGTCGAAACCGATACTCGGAGAACATTTTCCGTGAGAGTGAAGTCAACGAATCGAATATATCAATGAAGCGAAAACTAGTCAAGTCTCATGTAGCTTTTTGCCTTTAACTTGGAGGCTGCAGACTGATGGAGACTTCGATCTGGGCATCGCCAGTGGCAATGATCGAAATGAATTGAAAACGCTGGTGCGGATAATTTTAAGTGAGTTCCTTACATTTGAGTCAGGGCTCGAAGTCTAGTAGAGGACACTGTTTTTGATTATAAAAGTTATGTAGGAAAGTAAACTTAAGCTAGCCAACTTTTGCATTGCAAGAAAGGACTGAATGATCTTTTTAACCAGTATGGCAGATGTACAGGATGAATGAAAATGACCTTGCTCTTGATCATGTAGTCGACGATCATATGAAATTGGAACTGGAACATTCACTATCAATCCTTAAAGCGATGACTGGTGAGCCCCTTCGTACATCTGGAAATGTTGAATACAAAAAAATGGATACATCAACTGTTCATAAAGGTTAACCTGAGAGGTTCGAATGTAACTTCACACTCTCCAAAAGGTTCCTCGACCACAAAAACGAAATAATCGAAAGCCTTACTCATTAGCTGTGATCTTGAGTCTTAGATGGAAACGCATTTCAAAACCGTATTTACATTACATAGCTAACTTGTTAGATGCATTAGGTCAGTCAGTCAAACATGAGGTAACAAATAAAATTCTAGATTTGACCTTGACGCTCCCATTTTTGAAGACCTGACATCAAACGCCAGTCTCTTCGCCACAAAGATCTATGAAACTAAAGTTATATACAGAGTGAAGTCTCTCTGCAAAAATCTAGTAATGCACGACAGACATCTCTATTTTCAGATGCTATTAATGTTTTAATGTTCAGTGGAAGTTATGAGCCTATCTGAGCAGTCTCATGTCAGTTGCATATCAGGAACATGTCAGCATCTTGTTCGTCTTGTCTTATTCTGTGAAAACGTCCATGGTTGACTTTTATCCTGGTCAATGTATCAGAGCACTTTTTATTGACTTTGAAATTGAAAATGTGCCGTAATCATAAGGGAGGAATTCTACTTAGCAAATAGCAGTTCCTTTTACTTTGTTGACAGCTCATGAAATAATGACTGCGTTTTCAGCCATGTGAGCCTTTTGATTGCCATCTATGCCAATATGACCTTTTACTCAAATAAAGACAACTTGACTACCTACTGAAGATAGCTCACGAATGAGACTAAGAATTTTGCCAACGACGTGCTCTTTATAATATGTTTTGTCAGAACCTACTATTGTTTCTAAAGAGGACTTTGAATCTGTAAGGAGAAGCCTTTGTATTTTATTTTTAAACCTTTGTACTTTCCCTTTAAGAGCCCTTTTTTTTCTTAAACCGGCCATGCAAGCCCTTTTTCTGCGCACATGCTCTAACAAACATAGGGCGACCGTTTCCACGCCACAAACAATTGGATCACTTTC